CAAAACAGCGTATATAATAATAGCCCAAGTTTTTTAAATATAGTTAGCACAGAAAGCATGTCTGGAAGGACATACACCTTGCGGTTGGCGGGGGTGGTGGGGAGGCTTACAGGTGGCCTTATTTTCCTGTTTATTGCTTGGATGGGGGGGTGCAGTGCACAGATATTACTTTTGTAATTAGTCAAAACAATAGCACTTGTTGGAGAGCAAACAAGGATGAGGTGGAAGAGCTGGGAGGTGGAGAAAGGAGGGGGTTAGGGAGCAAGGTGGAAGCAGGGAGTGGGGGGATGGGCAGAGACTGCAAAGGGTGAGAGGGAGTCCTGGAGCGAGGAGAAGGCAGGGAACTAGCTGGGTGCCAAGGCCCAGCGGGATGTGCCCTTTGGCAAGGAGACAGGCAGGAGCCCCAGGGACAAGGAGGGTGGGGATAGGAATAGTGGAGCATCCTCCTGCCGCATGTCCCCTACTTCTGAGGCCCACTGGTGGTGTCTGGTGGAATCAAAGCTGCTCACTGACCTTGCTGGACCCTTCCTGCCCCCCTTCACAGCTCTGTACTCCCCAGGGGACTCTCCCTCATCTCCCCGCCCCACTCCAGAACCACAGCAGGGCTTTTTTTTTTTTTTTACAAATTAAAATTGCATCTCCCCACCCCTGCAGGTGGGTTTGTAATTTTCTGTGCCAGAATCACTCTGAGGAAGAGGAATCCTCGGGGGCAGAGTCTTTAATAACTTCTGCTGCCCAAGGAATCGGCTGCAGGGCCGAGAGCTAAGGGAAGGGTAGGGGCTAAGGTGTGCAGGTAGGGGCTGCAGGCACGGGAAGGGGGCATAAGAATGAGGAGCATGTCTCCACCCAACTCGCCCCACCGAACCCCCAGGCCCTCAGTCTTAGAGCTTCAATGCCATGGACCCCAGCTCCCAGAGCTGTCCAGCCGCATGGAGCCCAAGCCCCCAAGGGCTCGCTCCATGCCTCCTAGCTGGGAGCTGAGGAGGGAAACAAGGATGGGTCAGCAGCCACAGGGGACAGAAGCCCCAAGTCACGAGTTCTGGGTTCCGTATGAAACCTGCCTCTGTCATGTTGCCTGACCTGGCTCTGGCCCCTCTCAGGGCCTCAGTTTCCCCATCTATAAAACAAGACGGTTGACATGATGAAGCTCCCAGTCTTCTTTAATTCCAACCCTCTATGACAAGCTTTCTTGGGCTGTCACACAAGTTTTTAATTTTTGGACTTGATAGCATTTAAACATTTGGGAGATTTTACAGAAACATCTGAACTCCCACCAATAGGTAACCCTCATTCCTGCAGGGCGGCCACTGGCAGCAGCTGCCCCCTAAAGACGGGCGTAAACCAGTACCAGCTGCCATCAACTGACTCACGGCAACCCCATGTGTGTCAGAGTAGAACTGTGCTCCTAGGGTTTTCAATGGCTGATTTCTCCGAAGTCAATCGCCAGGCCTTTCTTCTGAGGAGCCTCTGGGTGGACAAACCTCCAATCTTTTGGTTAGCAGCTGAGCTCATTAACCGTTTGTACCACCCAAGGACTCCAAGATGGGCACAGCCTCTACTATTTGCCAGTCTCTGCCACTCTGACTTCTCCTGTCCTCTCCCGCCTAGCTCCAGCTCCTGTGGGTGTAAGTTTGCAACCCCTGTCCTCAGGGTCAGCTGCTCCTGCTCTGTGCTTTCCTTCTACTCTGGGCAGTCAGACCGTCCCTTAATGTCCCCTTAACATTTCCCTACTCACTGAATGGGTAAAAACCACAGGCTTTTGAGTCAACCTGTTGTTTTGTGCCATCGAGTCAATTCCGACTCATAGCGAACCTGTTGGACAGAGTAGAACTGCCCCATAGGGTTTCCAAGGCTGCAAATCTCTATGGAAGCAGACTGCCACATCTTTCTCCTGTGGAACAGCTGGTGGGTTCGAACTGCCGACCTTTTAGTTAGCAGCCAAGCGCTTAACCTTTGCGCCGCGAGGGCTCTGAGTCAACCTAAACCCATTAAACCCATCGCCATTGAGTTGATTCTGATTCATAGCGACCCTATAGGACACAGTAGAACTGCCCCATAGGGTATCCAAGGCCTTAAATCTTTACAGATGCAGACTGCCACATCTTTCTCTCATGGAGCAGCTGGTAGATTTGAACTGCTGACCTTTCGGTTAGCAGCTGAGGGCTTAACCACTGAGCCACCAGGGCTCCTTCCCTGAGTCAACCTAAAACCAAAAATCAAACCCGTTGCCATCGAGTCAATTCCGACTCATAGTAAGATCCAACTCCCTGCTCTAACTCTTGAGATCTTAGCAAGTCATTTAGTCCCTGAGCCTTGTCTGTCAAATGAGTATTATAAGAGAATATGTCTTGTATAGGATTGTATGGACTAAGACAATGTGTATAAAGCTCTTCCCGCTGTGCCTAGTGTGTGGGGAGCACTCAGTCATTGTGAGCTCACCACCCTAGGTGAGGGTGACACACTCAGGAAGAATGCAGTCTGTATTTGTTAAATGAAGAAAGGAAGGAAGGGAGAGGATGAGACCTGGGGAACGAATGAAGTTGCAGAGTAGACTTCAGGAGACTCAGGCTTACGGGGTCAGGGAGGTCTGCTCTCCAAAGGAAGGGCCCAGTGTGAGAGCCGGCAGCTTTCCTCAGGGGTCCAACCAGCCGCTGGGGTCTTCGGACGTTACCTTGGCGCCACCTTCTGGCCGATGCGTGCCTCACACCCACCCCCTCCATCACAGTCCAGGGCGGACCCTGCAGTGGGTTTCTCCTCGCACAATTTTTAAAACTGGCAAGACCCTCTGAATTCGTCCAGCCTTTCATCACACATCTGGAGAAACTCAAGCCCAGAACCAGAAAGTAACTTGTCCAAGGTCACAACGAAAGCTCCTGGCCAAGCTCCAAGTAGAACCCAGAACTTGTTACAGCTGTCAAAAATCACAACCCCTTCCCTTTGTCAGGGATGCTAAGACAGACGAGACTGAACCTGTCCATCCATGGGCCCTGTTGATTCTCGGGGGAACTCCCCCCAGAAGCAGACCCTGAGCCCAGGAATGAATGCAGGTGCTTTATTTGGGAGTTGATCCCAAGAAGCACCAGCTGGGGAGTGGGGAAGTAAAAAAGGGGAGGAAGGGGTAGAAAGCAATGCAGGGTGCCTTACAGGCAAGTTAGTCAGCACTGTGGGCAACTGGGGCTCCGTCCTGCGTGCAACCCTTGGAGACGGTATAGAACATGCCTTGCATTTGTCCCTCCCAAGGACAAAGAAGCTGGGTTATTTATATGGCAACTCTCATTCCTAGTTGGTTGAGAGAACTCAGGGCATTAACTCCCCCAGGTATATCCTACCTGCCTCACACTTATACCAACCATGTTTTCAAGACCAGGGAAAGCCCTTGGGCAAGCGATAACAGGAAGCTGGGGGCTTATATAGAAGTATGAATGCCGAGGGCAGTGGCTTGCAAAGTGTGGTCTCGAACCAGAAGCAGCAGCATCACCTGGGAACTTGTTAGAAATACAAATTCTTGAGCTCCATCCCAAAACTACAGAATCGGAAATGCTGGCAGTGGGACCCAGCCATCTGTGGTCTAACAAGCCCTCCAGGTAATCGTGATACACACTCAAGTGTGAGAACCCTGACCTAGGAGATAAAAAACCAAACCAAACCACTTGCCCGTGGAGTCCATTCTGACTTATGATGACCCCATGGGTGTCAGAGTAGAACTGTGCTCCATAGGTTTTTCAGTGGCTATGATCTTTCTGAAGCAGATGGCCAGGACTTTCTTCAAAGGCTCCTCTGGGTGGATTCACAGCCAACTTTTTGGTTAATAGCAGAGCACCTAACCTTTTGAGCCACCAAGGAACTCCGGGAGATGAGGAGGAGGCATCCATAGGGTCTGTTACTGGTATTGTCTCCATTTGACAGACGAGGAAACTAGGAAGCCAGGAGGTGAAAGTGACTCACCCAAGGTCACACAGATGATAGGTAGCAGAGGTGGGTCTTTCTGTCTCTTTTCATTATACTGCTGTGCACAGCAGTGAGTAACGCTAGCATTTGGGCTCTAGGTAGGGGATGAAGGCTAGCTTGCAAAGCTCCCCCTCCCTGCCACACACACCACCACTTTGTTCCACTTGCTAAACCAGAGATCTCCACCTGGTACATCCAAATGGTCCTTGAAGCTCTTCTGGGAAGGCTGCCAACCCAGATGCTCCTCTCTTGGCTCCCAGTTGCCCTCCCGGCTTCCATCAAGGAAAAAACTTCTCAACTCCAACCCTCCAGCCAGCAGGACACTTGGGGAAACCCAAAGCAGCTTCTTGCTGGGGAAAGGCTGAGATCCTGGGGTTTCACCCAGACTGGCATTGTCCTCACCAGGAATCTTTGTGTTCTTCTTTCTCCTCCTTGTCCTACAACCTCCCTCCCCTCCCCTCCCCTCTGCTCCCACTCCATCTGCTGCTCCTCCTGGCTAGGCTCCCCCTCAGTTGGCACAGCAGGAAAAGAGAACAGGATGGGTTATTTTTATCCTGAGATACTGCTGGGGGGAAGGAGCACCATCTGACCAAGAAGCCACAGCTCCTGTCGCAGTTAGGAGGGAGGTCAGAGGGTGTGGGAGACCCAGGATCTCCCTGGGACCCAGGACGGAGCTACAGATGTAGGGTCCAGTGAGCAGGCGGGTCTGGGAGAAGCAGCACAGCACCAAGAGTGGAGAGTCCTGAATGAGGCACTGCGAGGAACTGCTGTGTGACTATAGGCAAGTCACTTGACCTCTCTGGGCCTCTGTTGCCACCTCTTTAAAAGAGGGAGGGATGCAGGCCCTGCCTGCCCCAAGAGCTGTTTTGTGAGCATGCATCTAATGAGAATGCTTTGCAAAAAATGAAGCCAAATGTGAGGACACAGGGTAACCACCCTGGGGGCGGGGGGGGGGGCCCAGCAGCCTGGGGACATTCTTACTTATCCTCAGAAAGTGCCCTAATTCTGTGGGCCTGAAACAGCTCAGATCACCCAGCATGTCCACCCTCGTCTTTCTTTTTACATGTTTGATGATTTTTTAATTACATAAGCAATACATGAATTCACTCTCTTTTTGAAAAAAAAAATAATAATAAAGCATTATGGGAAATTCAAGTCTCCTTTAACCAGCCTTCCCCAGACCCTTCTTGCCCACCCCAGACATTACCACACTTTGAGTTATGGATTTCTATGTATCCTTCCAGAACGCTTTTTATGCATACATATACAATGTACCTTGTGTTTGAACACATATCCACAGACAACACATCATATTGTTTTTGAGCGTGTGCTTTAAAAAAAAAAGTTTCTGTACCCATCGTTCTACAAGTTGCCTTTTTTTTTCCATCTTTGCCATCCTATTGTATAAATATATTACAATGTTCTTCAGCCAGTCCCCTGACGATGGGCAGTTAAGTGGTTTCCAGTTTTTCGCTACCACAAACAACAGTGCAATGATCATTCGCATGTATGTCTTCCTGGGAACATGGAAACCACCATGCGACATCCCTGGCAGGCTGGAGGGCTTGGTGGCTATTACTCTATGGCCCCCCAAAGAGTTCTGCCTCCATCTTTAAAAGCAAGTTGGGAGACAGGCTAGGCTCCAAGGCTGGCGTGAGGAGTCCTCCAAGGTGAACTGTTTCTCCTGACATCAGGGGGCAGGCAGAGGGGGCTGTACAGCGCCAGCCCCCGCCCTCTTGCTGCAGCTGTAGTTCTGGGCTCTTTGGTCAGGTGTCCATTGCCCAGGCTGCCTCTCTCCTGGGCAGCCACAGCTTCACTGTCTCTCCTGCACCGAGATGCGGCTCTCTTTGCCATCTTCCTGGGTGACTGGCTGGCACCCGTGTAAGGTCTCCTGCACTGGAGCCACCGGGTTATGGCCAGGAATGTCATCCAGGAAAATCATTTCCTCGGGAGCCTTCCTTACGCCCTCACCTGGGTAAGCCTGGAGGAGCCAAGGCGTGAGGTCACCCCAGCAGCAGGGGCAACCTTCACCTCTGAGGAGCCCTTCTCTCTGGAGCGAGTCCCCTCCCCAGACGTCTTCCTTTTTTCCCAATGGAGGGTCAGCACTGATTCTTTGGGTGCTTCCTGCCCCCTGCTGGCCACACCGAAGGTAACAAGAAGCTGCCAGAGTGGGAGCCAGAGGGGCTGCCTGTCTAGCCCCAACCATTGACCCAACACCAAGGCCCCAAAGATGTGGCTCCCCACGTGTTTAATGACAGGAAAGCAGTGGAGAACAGCAAATGTCAGGCTTTGCCAGTGAGGTCAGGGGCAGCTCTGTCAGGAGGGGCTGTGAACATGACAAGGGCTGGCAGGGAGGGCGTAAGGCAGGAGGAGTGGAGGCTGGGGTACAGAGTTGGGGTGAGAGGAGCAAGTTCTGCTGCTCCCTGGCCACAGGGGCAGACACTGAACCGGATTTACTGCCATATGACCCAAAACCCACTGCCATCAAGTCGATTCTGACTCATAGCCCTATAGGACAGAGTAGAACTGCCCCATAGGGTTTCCAAGGAGTGGCTGGTGAATTCGAACTGCCAACCTCTTGGTTAGCAGCTGAACTCTTAACTACTGCACCACCAGAGCTCCTTACTGCCATATAGGTAACAAGTCAATCTTTCTGGTTTGCCAAAACTCTGCCCTAGCTCCCAGGGGGAACCTACCTTATTGTCTGGCTTCTTGACCACCTTATCTAGGAGAGAAAAAATGGGATGGGTGGGGGGGTCAGAAAACAGGTGGCTGATTCTGTCTTGTACCTTCTCCTCCCTCCCTTCTCCATCACTTCCCACCTGAGGACTCACTGATATAAGCAGATACAAAGATGACAAACAGGATCCCCAAGGTGATGGGGATTGCCACCAGGGCTCTCGTCCGAGGCCAGGGACCTGGAGAAATCAAGACTTCAGCAATGACTCCCCCATCCACAGTCACTCCCCACCCCCATATCCGCAGTGGCTGTACCTTGCCGACTGCTAAAGTCCTTCATTGTCTGAGCTCATCTACATCAGAGGTTTCAAACGGGCGGCACTTGGTGAAATGTGACAGCAGATGTCTTTAATGTGACCAGTACAATCTCAATATATGTATATATTTGCCAACGTTTCAGAATTGGGAGATTCCACATAAACAATCTGGATGTCTGGTTTCTCTTACAAATTTGGAACATCTGGCCCCTGTGGAACCCATGCCTGACAACCATCAGGTAGAACTGAGTAGCAATAGCTGTCTCCACTTGTTCACCACACTCCCCACCACTCCCTACTCTCTGCCCAGTGCTGAGGTCCAGCATCATTTATGTCTGCACTGTTGCTTTTGTTGTAGAAGACTAGAGGAGAAAGTAAATTATTTCTTGTACCTAAGTCCCCATTCTAAGTGGGAAAATGAAAGAAAAACCAAGAAGCAAGGCAGGGACTAGGGTGAGGCAAGTGAGACACTCTCCTTGGCACAAAATTTAAAGGGGCACCAAAAAGCTCAGCAATCAGGATAAATATTTTAATGCGATATTAAGAAAAATCAAGTCAGCAAACTATAGCCCACAGGCTGCTGCCTGTTTTTTAAGGGAAGTTTTGTGGAAACCAGGGTCAGGATTAGGGTGAGGCAAGGGAGGCAGTGTCATGCAAGTGCATGGTCGTGATTAAAAATTTCGATATTCTGTTCATTGTAGGGTTTTTTCTTCTTTTTTTTTTGGCATTGTGATTTTTTAAAAATATTATTTATCTTAACTACTGTATTTTTTGGCACTCCCTTAAATATTGTGTCTGAGGCAACTACCAAGAGGAAATTGAATTTTTCTTACCCTTGACCTTTTTCACCCCTGTAGTTATTTGAGTTTGTGAACTGTGCTGTCGGCCAACCTCCTCGTTCTACCATTAAAACTGAGGCCTTAAGAGGGGACAGTGTCACACTGTCTGGTCTTCAAAGTGCAGGGAGGCAGGACAGCATTTATGGAGGCACTTACAACAACTTACTGAGAGAGATGCTATTAGCATCCCATTTTACAGAGGAAGAAACTGAGGCTCAGAGAGAGAAAGTAACTTTCCCGGGCTCCCACAGATAAGTGGCAAAACTGGGACACCACAACCCCAAACTGTCTCCTCCTCTCACCTCACTTCCTCTCCTGTTTCCCACCCGCTGTTTCTCTGTGCCTCAGTTATTCTCTGTGCCTCAGTCTCCCCTTTCAATTCCCTACCTTCCTACCCTGCAGCAAGGGCCCATTCTCCAGAACTCACCACAGAGAACATCAGTCGTGTTAGTCCCTGCCTTCAGTTCTGCCAGGTCTTTGGTCTTGCAGCTGTATACAAAGACACATGTGAGTGCACACACACACACACACGCACACACGGAGAGAAAGATACATTGCCTTTCTCTAACCATAAGATTTCCAGCCCCAGAGGGAGGCAGTCAAGTAATTCCCAAGTCTGGGTTCACCGAGCATGTATTCCATGCAACATTCTATGCAGGTTCCTATGGGGATGACACAGACTCTTATAACTCATAAGTGGAGAGGAAAGACTATTGCACGTAAACCCTTGAAGGAGTAGTGATAGGAGAGTCTACAATGAGTGCCAAGCTTTGTGATGTTGGCAAAAGTGAAATAAAACTCATTCAGAGAAAAGACAGACCCACGGTGGTGGAATGGAGAGACGACAATGAGTTCAGTTCAAGGCAGCGTTTCTCAACATCAGCAACACTGACATTTTGGGCTGGAACATCCTTTGCTGTGGAAGAGCTGTCCTGTGCATTATAGGAAGCTTAGCTACTCTATGGTCTCTTCCCACTAGATTCCAGTAGCACTCCCTCCTCGGTTGTGATGACCAAAACGTCTCAAGACATTGTCAAATGTCCCATGGAGAACAATACTGCCTCCAGTTGAGAACTGCTGGTTTAAAGATATTCAGGGAAGACTTCCCTGGGGAGGTAAGATCTGAGTGGGCCCTGAGGACGTGAGGTTTAGAGTGGCAGTGCATTCTAGATGAGAGGGACAACATGGTGTGAGAGAAAGCAGGTGGGTATATGCAGAACAGTTTTAGAGAACTATGGGAAATTGGGTCTTTAGAACCAGGTCATTGATGAGCAGGCATGGAAGTTTCAACTGGAGTCACCTGGCGAGTCTCAGCATCCAACCAGATGGCTGAAGTAGTGTGAGAAATGTTTTTAAAGCCTCCACTGGCCAGAGAGCTCCAAGGAGGCGAAAGGACAGGAAGAGTGGCCAGCCGGGAGGTCACTGCAGGAGTCCAGAGATGAGATGATGAGGACCTGGTCCAGGCTGGTCCCAGGAGGAGTGGGGAGGAATGGACAGAGAAGGACATCACAGCGAAAAAACCATCTAACGTGGGAGAAAGAGAAGTCTCAAAGCAAGCACCTGGCTGAGCCTTCATGAAAACAGCGCTTTAGAGTTTACAAAACACTTGTATATGTCTCTTTCTCAAGCCCTGTAAGACAAAGTCATTCCCATTTTTCAAATGAGGACACCAAGCTCAGAGAGGGGAGGACAGTTGGCCCGGGTCACATATTTACTAAGCTGCAGTCAGATTATAACCCAGTTCTCTGATTCTGATACCACGGGCCAATTAATTCTACGACACCTGTTAACACTCATCAGTAAATATTTACTGAGCACCTACTATGTATCAGGTACTGTTCTAGACATAGGGGATACATCAGTTGAGAGGAGAGGCTGTTATAGATTGAACTGTGTCCCCCAAAAATATGTGTTGTAAATCCTAACCCCTATACCATGTGGCCAGAGCCCTCGTGGCGCAGTGGTTAAGAACTCAGCTGCTAACCCAAAAGCCGGCAGTTTGAATCTACCAGCCACTGCTTGGAAACCCTGTGGGGCAGTTCTACTCTGTCCTATAAGGTCGGTATGAGTCAGAATCGACTCAACGGCAATGAGTTTGGTTTTTTGGTTTTATACCTGTGGTTATAATGTCATTAAGGAATGGGTTTTCTTTGTTACGATAATTAGAGAATACTAGTGTAGGGTATGTTTTAAATCAATGTCTCTTGAGATATAAAAGAGCAGATTAGACATAGAGAAGCCAGCAGAGATGAGGGAAGATAGATGCCACACCACATGGAGATCACCAAGGAACCGAAGAATAAGGGCCTTCCCCCAGAGCTGACAGAGACAGAAAGCCTGCTCCTAGAGCTGGCATCCTAAATTCGACTTCTAGCCCCCTAAACTGGGAGAGCAGAAATTTCTGTTTGTTAAAGCCACCCAATGTGTGATATTTCTGTTATAGCAGCACTGAATAGCAAAGACAGAGGCCCAATCTTTATACTTACAGAGTTTGCAGGCTACTGGGAAAGGCAGATAGTAAACAAATAAAGTATATATGGTATGTTACTATTTATGTAAAAAATAAAAGGAGGGAGATGTGTGTGTGTGTGTGTGTGTGTGCACAGAATCTCTGGAAGGACACGCAAGGAACTGGTAACAAGTTGCCTCCAAGGAAGGGAATTGGTGGCTGAGGGACAGAGGTGAGAGAGAGATTTGTCATTGACCTGTGTGCATGTTTTACTCATTTTTTAAATTAAATGTAAAAAGTTAATGGGGGTGTTTAACAGTATTTCTGGCAGGAGAGTGTGAGGCAGGAGAATGAACAGCATGTTCAGGGGGTTGCAAGCAGCAGGAGGCAGCGTGGTGTGGGGAAGATGTCAGGAAATGGAGCTGGAAAGTCGGCCGGGGGCCTCCAATGCAACGCAGAGGAGTTTGGGTTTTATCCTGAGGGCAACGAGAGCCATGAAGCACTTTACATAGGGGAGTGTCTTGATCTGAAATTGAGTTTTAGAAAGCTCACTTGGCAACAGGATGGAGAACCAGTTGAAGGGGAGAGACTCAAGACCAGAGGTCAGGAAGAAGGCTGAGGCCTCATGGTGATGAGGTTCCAATTAATGTAGTGTGGGTGGAGGTAACGTGGAGACAGATTCCCACGTTTAGAAGGCCAACGGACAGGACCTGGCAACTGATTTGGGGTTAGAGGTGAGAAAGGGAGGCCCTGTTGGGTGAGTGCCTGGAGGCGTGGTGGTGAGGAGAGCGAGCGGTGAGTCCATTTTGGGCACACGGAGCTGGAGGTGTCTGTGGTCACCCAGGTAGAAATGGGCACTCAGTAGTTGGATGTGAGAGTCTGAGACAACACTGGACAGGAGATCTTGATGGGAGCCATCAGAGGGAGATGGTAGTTGAAGCCATGGATGTGGATGAGATGGCCCAGGGAAGGCGGGCAACGTGATTAAAGAGGAAAGTCCAGAACAAAGCCGTAGAAAAATCAGTTTCGGAGAGGGAAGGAAGAGAAGCAGGGATAGAAAGAAAACCAAGAGAGGGATCATGATACCCCAAGAAGGGGGAGCTTCACAAAGATGGGAGAGACCAACAGTGTCTACTACACTAAGAGAGAGCTTGTTGTTGTTAGGTGCTGTCAAGTAAGCTCCGACTCATAGTGACCCTATACGACAGAGTAGAACTGCCCTATAGGGTATCCAAGGAGCAGCTGGTAGATTTGAACTGCTGACCTTTTGGTTAGCAGCCAAGCTATTAACCACTATGCTACCAGGGCTCCAGGAGAGAGCAGGCAAGACAAATGCTAGAGATTGTCTACTTGGTCAGCTATGAGGTCCCTCTGTGCGTGTTCTACAAGTGGGTGTGGATATGGGGGAGCAGGGGATGAAGGACAGAGGACTGGATAGCATGGAAGAAGGACCCATGTCCGTCTTGGGGCAGGAAACAGAAGGGGATGAGTCCTCATACCTTGTCCAAGGGTGACACTTTTCGAAAGCAGATGACACATTGGAGAAGAAGCCGACTGGGCAGGGTGTGCAGATGGTATCAGAAGTGCCTGTAGCTGGAAGTGGGTGGGGTGGGGTGGGCACAGTGGTCACAGTGGACCATCTGCCCAGCTCTCGAGGGAGCAAGCAGACAGGTGGGGCAGGAAGAGCTTCAGCTTTGAGCACTCTACCTCCCCAAGCCTAAGCTGCTACAGCCCGCAGGAGGGCTTCTCCCACTGCCCTCCCAAGGCAGACAGAAGGGAAGAGGCTCCATTTCCTAAGATACCAACTTAGTGGAGTCTCCATTCCCTACACCTCTGGGGCTGAATGCCCACTGTCCAGCCCCTCTCCTGTGGCCCTGGGCTCCTTTCCTGCCTCCAGAGCCGGTGCCCAAGCAGGCTACTTACCAATCTGCTCGACCCCAAAGCCAGGGTGGCAGGAGCTGTGTGGGGCACAGCTCTCACAGGTGTCACTGGTGCAGTGCTGGCCCTCTTTACAGGTGCAGGTGGTATCTGTCTCTGAGGTGCCCTCTGTCTGGATCCGGAGCCCTAGGTCTGAGCAGAAGTGGGCAGGAAGGATGGGAACCCCTTGCTGGGCCATGCTTGGAGCCCTGCCACCTGCCGTTTTGTTCTCAGACCCTCTTCCAAGTAGGGATGGTAATCAAATTCTTTAACCACCAGTACAACCCAGACCCTGGCTATTAAAAACACAGAATGGTTGCATTGTCAGGAATGAGCTAAAATATCAGCCCTGTTCCCCAGTACCCCCTCCCCAGCAGCCCACGCACTGGGGTCACAGTATTTGTGCTGGTGACAGCGCATCTCTCTGTTCAAGGTGTCCAGGAATTCGCCTGCTTGGCAAGGCTCGCAGACTGTGTCGACACCGTCGGTGCAGTCCTTCATCAGTTTCGTTCCTGGGAAACATCAGGAAATGAGGCAGCTCTAGCCCATTCAAAGTCAGATACTTCTTATGAGTGATCAGGCCAGGCTTTAGCGCAAGGGGTTCAAAGATGAAAGTCTTAAACCCTCCCATTGTTCATAGTCTGAAGGGGGAGATGGAGGAGATAGGAGCCCTAGTCCTGGGTAGACAGAGGGTTACCTGACAGAGGGAACCCAGAACATTCTGACAGCTGCGCAGGGATGGGAAATCCCCAGGGCTGGCTTCAGACTCAAGTTTACAGTTGGCATACAGGTTTGCGTCCCCTGGCAAAGCAACAGGGGCCCCACTAAGGGGTGTGAGGGTTGGGATCTCACCTGGAAGGCACAAATCACAGCACTGGCCCTCTATTTGGTACTGTTCTTGTTTGCATGGAGTGGGAGGCTCCAGGTGGACCTACAAACAGAATTGTGGAAGGTGAAGAAATCTGGAAATCTCTGCCGTAGCCTCAGTGCAGGAAGGTGAAAGGCGGCCGGAATAGGCTGGAACCGAAGTGGAAGTCCAAAGCAGAAAACAAGCCTACGTATTACGTACTTCGTGTGTTTGTTTTTAACTAAACTGCCAAGTGATCTGATTCCAGAAGCACCCAGGGAATCATTCTGATATTTTATAAAGTGGTTGCGGGACCCTCACAAGGTTCTCGGAACTAGACAGGTCCTCCTTTTGACTTGACTCCTGGGTTTGTCCTCTTCTCCGAGACCTAAAAGGACATGCAGACAGAACACCTCCCCTGGAGTCCTGAGGCTGGCTGGCTTCAGCTGCTCCCAGTCCTGGCTGGAGCTATATTTAGTCCCTGGCCTCTTCCTCCTACTCTTCTACTCCTCCTCCCCTGCCCCTCGCCAAACCCCACCACATTTTCTCCCTCCAGTTTCTCATTCCTGCTCATCCAGCCCCTCCCTCATGAAATGCGAGGCTTGTGGAGCTGCAAGGATAAAATTCAGCTCTTTTGTTTTGCAGATAGTGAGAATGAGGAACAGGGAGGCTGGTACACTTGGCTGGAGTCACAAGGCAACAGAACACGAATGAGAAGTTGGATCTCAGTGCTCCCTCTCTCCATCAACCTGGGTCTCACCTGCACATTTTTACTACATCCAGGTACCACCCATGCTATTGATTACTTCTTGTTAGCTTAAATGCGTTCATTGTTAAAGTAAACCTTATATCATTGCTATGAGAGGAGGACCAGTATCACGTCTCATAAATAAAAGCAAACCCTAAAAATCATTCCACAGAAACAAAACAATGTTAATAAACCCCAGCTGGTTGCTTTGCTTGCTGAAGGCCCTCCACCCCAGGCCTGCTCTTAATTTTTGTTTAAAGAGGAGGATTAGCAAGACTTGAGAGGCATTAATTCTATTTTAGCTCCAGAGACTTCCTCCTTGAAGAAATGAAAAGGATTAAAAAACTGTAAAGTGAGTCTGGGTCATTTAGTTTTATATCCATGTGCTCCCTAAAATCATCCCACACTTTGGGAACAGCCAGTCAAAAGAGCACACATTTGAGAGTCAGACCGCTTTAGGCTCCCATCCCAACTTTGTAACGGTTACTAGCTATTTTGCTTTTCTGAACTTCGGTTTTCTCATCTCTAAAATGGAAGTAATAATATCTGCTCTGCAGGTTGGGTTGTGAAGATTAGAAAGAACATATGTATATGGCCTGGCACAGTGTTTACAACATAGTAAACCAAATCAAACCAGTTGCCGATGAGGCGATTCCGACTCATGTCAACCCCAAGTGTTGCAGAGTAGAATTGCACCCCATAGGGTTTTCAAGGCTGTGACCTTTCAGAAGTAGACCGCCAGGCCTTTCTTCCAAGGCATCTCTGAGTGGGTTCGAACCACCAACCTTGCAGTTAGTAGTGGAGCATTTAACCATTTGCACCATCCAGGGACGGCCCCAGGTGCTCAGTAAGTGGTGGCTTAATTATTATATATATGTGACATCTGCTTGAGCGCCTAGCACCCTGGCTAATGGGCTGGCTGTCCAGGAGCTGACCTGATGGGTGGCTCTCATTCAACCTGGGTATCTGAGCAAACACTTACGGAAGTGCTTCTTACCTGAAATGGAGAAGGAAGTAGAAAAGGCTGCTGCCCCCACCGGTGCATCCCAATGCACTCCCCCCCCCCCCCCGTGAATATTCTCCCAGCAACCCTCATGGACCTTCCCCTCACACTGCCAGAGCAATGACAGTCCTTGATGCCATCGTCAAATACATGAAAGCTTGTCAGTCCTCATTCCCCTCGGGTCCCACCCTTCTGCCACAAAGCAGCCTGGGACAAGTGCTTTAGAGACTTTCCCCATCTGAGAGGCAGGCTCAAGAATCAGGCTGATGTGGATTCATACCCAGGTTCCACCATTACCCAGCTATGAGACCTTGGGCAAGATACTTCCCCTTTCTGGGCCTCAGTTTCTACATCTGTATAATGGGGCAGTTAGGAAGAATCAGAACGTGAATCCGTTTTTCAGAGCCTGACACATAAGAAGCCCTCAGTGAATAGCCTCTGCTATTACTGCTGTTGTCTAGACCCAGCCTCTATCTGGAGCCAAAACTGGGGGTTATGAGGGCTCTTGAGAAGCCCAGACCACCCTTCACCCACCTCTCCTGGCCCTTTCTCCACCCCTCCTTACAGGGCTCTCCTCCTCCTCCTCTCTCCAGATCCATTCTCCTCCCGCCTGTCTTTTCCCTAAGAGCCATTGCTTAGAGCGAAAATGAAACCTCCTGACCCAGGCAGCTTCCCTACTGACTCTCCCCTTGCTGTCAACCCTCCCACACCATGGTCATCCTCAGACCTCATGCCAAAATCCACAGCCCCTAAAATTGTGAGTGGCGGAGGCAGAGGAGCAGGAGAGGGCCAGGTACTTGGGGGATTCCCAGCCTCCAGAATGAGGAACTACAAAAATACTTTTAAGCAAAAAGTGAGTCAAGGGGCCCCTCTGAAAATCCCGGAGACATGCTTGGTTGGCTCTGGGCTGTCTTGGGTGCCTAGAGAAACCCCTGCTGGTCTCCTAACGCTTTCTCTGGTCCCCCCCCCAGGGGTCCCCTAGGCCATCCTGAATTCAGCAGGCAGGGGCACAGCCCTGGGTATTCTTCCAGGATCACCCAGGATTGGGGCGGGAGGGGGGATGTTCCCAAAGAAGTACCCAGGGCTCTGCTCCCACCCCCTGTTCCCACAAGATGCCCTGGATGAAGGCAGCCCCAGCTGGCACGGAGATAACGACTCACAGAGGTTAGCACAGCCCACATGGGAAAGGGGCAGGAAGCGGCCAGATCCGCCCCTTCCCTGGGCTGGCTTCCCTTCTCGCGCTCGGACACCCCGCACCAGTCTGTGTGGCCAGCCTCAGAGGCAAATCCAGACTCCAGCCTTCTGATCAATAAACTGTATGAAGTGCCCTAAACCTCAACCCCGTCCACGCCGTCTTGGCTCACTTGTACCTACCGTGCCCTCCCTACCCGCCCTGCGACCCCAGCCCGGGAGGAGAGAGGCAGCCCACCGCATTCAGCCAGGACCCGAGGTACTTTGCCCAACTTCCACCCTCCTGTCCCCTCAGATCAGCCAGGAAGATCCCTTCCCCGACACGCTGCTACACGTCCTTTCTCATTCCCCGCTCTTAAATCCCAAATTCCCCGGTCGGGTCGGGGCAGAAACTCAACTCACGGTGGTCAACAAGCAGCCCCAGACGAGACACTGCAGACGCAGGCGAACCATGACGGGATGAGACCGGAGCGGCGGGAGCAGAGGGAGCACTGCGCTGTCTGTAGTAACTCCCCTGCCCCAGTCGTGGCCCCGCCCAGGAAAGGGGCGGGGTCTTCTGAGACCAATCGCAGCTGGCCTAGCTGGGGGGCGTGGCCCCCGGCGTCCACTCCAGCCTCCACCAAGCCCACCCCCCAGGGATTTCCCCAGGACATTCCCAGAAGTCTCACTTCGCCTGGAGTTTAGGGACGCGCTTGGGGGGCATCCAAGAGAGAGCCCTTCCTTCTCGCCCCCGAGAGAGAGATCCCCGTGGGTGCTGGGGACCTTTATGGTTCTCCCCGGCTGCCTCCGAGAATCCCAACAGAACCGAAAGCGTCCCCACTGCGGATGGAGAGGCTGGAGGAAGTCCCCCTACCCTAGAAAACAGGAAGGCCACAGCTAGGGCGTGGCGAGGAGGAGGGCGGGAGAGGCGTTTCAGGGAAAAGAGTTTCCCAGCTCAGAGTTTCACCCTCTTCCAAAGGAAATTCCCGCGCGTGGGTGAAGCGTCCCATCCATGTGTCCCCATCTGGATTTTATTCCATCCCAGCTCCTATCCAGCATCTGGAGATGGGCATTTACTCAAGAGTATACCAGCTTTTTGGGAGCTCATAGGACCCCTCTGAGAATCTTATGAAATTCGGGGTCTTCTCATTCTGCAGAAACTTGCGCCTGCATTTCCCCGGGTTCCCCAGTGCTCCCGAGATCCTTGAACCCAGTGTTAACAATCCCCGCTCTGTAGCACAGAACACCTGGGTTCTGGTCCAGGCTCTGCCTCTGATGGGCTGGGTTCTCTTAAGCCTCGGTTTTTCCCCCAGTGAAACCTGAAGAGCTTGAACTAGATGGTGGTTGGGGTGACGACCCTTGCAACTCTGAATTTCTGTGCCAGCCAAAAGACTAGTTGTTCAGATCAGGGAAGATGGCAGAGGAGGAGGCTGCTAACCCCCACCTCCTGGCTTCTGCAAAGGGCACATTCGCAGAGCTGGAGATTCTACTTCTGGGATCCGTCTCCTCTTTTCCATCACCTCTGTCACTGCTGTAATTCACAGGCTCACCATCTCTCACCTGAGCTCTCCCAACAGCCTCAGTCATTCCATCAGTGAGTACTTGTTGAGCACCTACTATGAGCCAGGCAGCCCTCACTGTATCTCCTCTTCTCTGTCTCTCATTGTTCACACTGTGTTGTGTTCTCGTTGTAAACCCTGGATCTGATCTGACCGGGTCACTTCCCTCCTTAAGAACATCTACGCTACACTGTACCCTCGGTATTGTCCAAACTCCTTATCCTGACAGAGCAAGCCCTTCCCTACTCAGCCCCCGCCTCTCTGCCCATACTCACTTCCTGCCGTGTCCTCCCACACACCCTGGATTCAGCCACACTCACCTTCTCCCCGCTTCCCAAAGACAATGGTTTTTTCTTACTCTTCTGTTTCATTTGGTTTTACTGTGTCTTGCTGTTGCGGTTGCCTTCTTTTCCTTCTCCTTTCTTGAACCGGTTGAAATTCTACCTCCTCTGAAGCCTTTGCCCAACTCCCTGAGACAGAGGTAGATACACTATCCTACCTTCACCCCATGTTCCCACAGCATTTATTGGGCTGAGCTATAACTCCATCTGCCTGGCCCCATTTGATTGTGAGCTCTTTGAGGGCAAGGTTGGATCTATCCCAGTCCTAGGCACATACTAGGACCTCAGTACACATTTGCTGAATGAATGAGTGGAAGAATAAATGAATGAGTGGATGAATAAATGAATGAGTTCAGCAACTTTTCATTCTAAGCACAACCTCCATCATGGAAAGGAATTGGGGGCGGAAGGTGCAAAACTAGTAGTCAGCACAGACTCAAGCTTCAGTGGCCCCTTGGACTTATGGGATGCTGATCAGACACCAACAAGCCAGGAACACATGTAATCAGGGTCCAGGGGACCTTGCTAAAGCCACCCAAATATGGCCAGGATGAAGAGAACCTTAAAATATCTTTTCTCTTTTTAACCCACTTTGAGAAAACAAGCATAGCTTTAATTTCTTTGGGAAAAGGGGGTGTTACTATAATAACTTCAGCCATAAGTCATTCTTTATTTGCTTGATTCCAAAATTGGGCCCTTCACAAAACTGCCTCAGGAAACAAGTACACAGAATTAAAACATTAATTATATAAAACATAACAGCAGCAATTAAAGCAGCTTAAATTAATGTGTGAAGCAATAAATAGCAGCCTTTGGGTTGCCCCATGGGGTGAAGACCAGATAAGATAAAGGGAAGATATTTTAGTACATACATACCCCAAGGAGGCATGTGCTGGCAGGCACAGGCCCAGAGAAGAAATAGAATCTTCCTGGGCTGAAAAGAGTGTGCTGGAGGAGGAAAGAGGTGATGTTTTATAGGGAAGGTGGCAATATTTCAGAGTCCCATCGAAGAGGGAAACTGTGAAAGGTTCAGCTATGGGAGTGAGGCAAAGGACATTTCACGATAGTGGAGTACCAGGATTTTGGAATCACGGAAGAAAGTGCCTTGCGGAGGGCGGGTGGGAGCCAAAGCACCAGGTGAATGGGGGAGAAGAGGGCATGGAGGACAAGTGTCCATGGGGCTTCCAGAATTTGGCAACCAGAAGGGTCTATCTAAAATTCAAACTCAATTGTGTTGCTCCCCGGCTTAAAGTGACCCCCAGAGCCCTCACTCGTTAAGTTCACAGGCTATAAGGCCATGGGCTTCCTGGCCTGCATCTTGACTGGCTCCTCCTGCCTCCCACTTGATGCTCTAGTCCACTCTGCAGTTGTAGTGTGCTGCCCAGTAAGCATTTCTCCCACTCTCCTTTCATCTCTGACCAGCTTCTTCTCATCCTTCACCTCTCTGCTCAGGTGCCCTTCCCCTAGAAAACCCTCTCTGACATCTGTCCTAGGACTTGTGCACCTACTTCCCCCTGCTCTCTCAGAACCCTGGGACTGCTTACCTAAGCAAGGATCCAGTCCTACCATGCTGTATTTCAATGATTCTGTTTACTTGTGGAACCAGTGCATTGAGGCAACTCAACTCGGTAGGACATAATAATGAAGCTTTTCCTCTCATCTCTGCCTTCAACCATGCTGTGCTGAATGAATCTCCCTTTTCCATCCCTTAATGATATTTTGGGCAGATTGCATTACTTTTGGATCGCTTTCTGTTGCTAAACCTCCATCCTTTAAAGCTTTATTCTCAAACTGAATTTAAATCTCATTTTATCTTCTCCCTTACTTATCCAAGGGTTGGGTTGAAACAGGAACCTCCCTTTTTGTAGTAAAAGATGGAGAGGGGGCATGGCCTGGTTGGAAGACACACCCTAGTACCTTCCCCCTTGTTGAAATGGGGAGAAGAGAATGGAAAGGGCAAATGCCCCTGCCCTTGTCTGGCGCCTACAATAGCCTCCTCTCTGATGGTTGCCCTGCTTCCGTGGCTAACCTGGAGTGACAAGTATCCATGTATTAGCTACTCATGGGGCAGGTCAATACTTTTCTGAGTGTTTCTCCACTACACAGTTCTCTGACAGGGTCTCAGGTTTGACCTCTCCTACGTCTCCCCTAAGGTGTGCCTGACCCATGCCATGGTGTTTTCAATCACCTCATAAGCATGTGAAAGCTGGACAATGAGTAAGGAAGACCAAAGAAGAATTGATGCCTTTGAGTTGTGGTGTTGGCAAAGAATATTGAATATACCATGGACTGCCAAAAGAACAAACAAATCTGTCTTGGAAGAAGTACAGCCAGAATGCTCCTTAGAAGCA